GGTCTGGCTCATATAGGCCATGGTTTTTGCAATCACTTGTTATGCATCAGAGAGTTGGATAATGACTAGGGAGGATAGAAGGAGAATTGACGCCTTTGAGCTGTGGTGCTGGAGAAGAGTATTGAATGTACCATGGAGTGCCAAGAAAACAAACAGATTCATCCTAGAGAGGGTTAAATCAGGCTGCTCCTTGGAGGCAAGGATTCTGGGGCTTCGTCTGACATACTTTGGACATGTTGTAAGGAGAGACAGGTCTTTAGAGAGGGACACCATGCTGGGTGGAGTAGAGGGACAGCGCAGGAGGGGAAGACCCTCTATGAGGTGGATTGATTCAGTGACTGGGGTAGTCGGGATGGGTTTGTCAGAGGCAATGAGATTGGCACAGGACAGAGCACGGTTTAGGGTTGTTGTACATAGGGTCACTATGAGTCGCAAACGACTCGACGGCACATAACAACAACAACATTTATGTTAATGAAAGTTTACAGAGACTTTGGATTTTCATTCATTCATTGTTGCACTTTTCTCCCTACCCCACCTCTCCCAAGAAATATTTAAAAAAAAAATTAAACATTTTAACCCTCAAAATAAATAATCTTTAGCAAGGTTTTTTCTTACATGTGATAATAATGATATTGTTAGATAATTTCCACATCCTGCTGGATCACCTTTTTTAGAATAGAAATAAATACAAATCTCATCCAGTCAGTTGGCCGAGTAACTGCCTTCCAAATTTATTGACACAGACTATTGAGTAACGTTCAGAGCTGCAACTGTTTGTTGAAACATGTCTATTGATATTCTATCAGTTTCTGGGGCCTAATATTTTTTCCAGTGCTTTCAGAGCTGCTTGAACTTCTTCTGTCATTACCATTCTTGATCATGTGCTGCCTCTTGAACAGGATAGCATGGCAGAAGTGTCAATGGATGTTCACTTTAGCCCAGAGTTCAGTCAGAGATGCGTCAACAGAAAACAGTGCCTGTGGCAAACACTGAAATTGAGCTTCTGGACAAAGATCTGACACTCATTTTATAGAGAACTTTACTACCATAATACCAGCTCAAAAACACAAATCAATTTTTTACATAATATAATATGAAGAACAAGTGAACAAAACCAAGCCCACAGCCATCAAGTAGACCCCAACTCATAATACCCTCCTCCAGGTTTCTAAAGCTGTAAATCTTTACAGGATGAGGCTCTCCGTTTTTCTCTCTCAGAGCAGCTGATGGATTTGAACCACTGACCATTCAGTTGGTAGAACAACACATAATGTGCTAGCACTACATGAAAATTCCAACTGCATCTTCCTTGCTCACTGGTGAAAACTGGGGCCACTCTAGTTTATTCTATTTTTGAAAAAAAATTTAAAAATTAAAAAAAATTAATTGACTTTCATATAATAATATCCTTATAATGTATTTCATTGGCATACATTGTGTTGTATACAATCTTTAATGTCCATTGTGTTTCATACAATCTATTTTGTATTATTTTTATACTAGTTTATTTACAAAATTCAAATACATTGTTATTCACACTAGATCCTTCCCATTTCCCTCACCCTCCTACCCATCAAATGGTGAGATCCTATAATTAACCCTCCCCACCCTCTGCACATCTTAACCCCTCTGCTTCCACCCTCCGTCCCAGTTGGATCCTCATATTCATTCTACAATAATGGTTTTATACAGTATTCGTCCTTATGGGACTGAGTTAGTTCACTTAGCATAATGCTCTCCAGTCCCTCCCAAGTCAGGTAATAATTTACAAAATCTTTGCTCCTGTGCTGTGTAGTATTCCATTGTGTGAATGTACCATAATTTCTCAATCCATTCAATTGTGGTTGGACATCTGGGCTGTTCCCAACAGCAGAACAACATGAGCCTCTTTCATCTAGAAGGGAGACTATGAAGGGACACACAGGGAGAAAGGGAAAAAACTCGAGGACATTGGTGCCTTGATGCATGAAGATTCTCATATACGTATTAGTTGTAACTCACTGAACAATTTTTCATGTCCTGTAATGGAAACTGAGATGGTTAATAGAACCTGTTCACTGACGCCCCCTTCAAGTGGTGTCCAGGGCCTGTGCCCTACCTGCCATGCTTTAGATAAGCCCCTGGAATCAATGGACACCTCTCCACGGAGATAATAGTTGTGATCTGAAGCATCCTTCAGGTATTACTGTTCAGGACAGAGAAAATTCTACCCCTGTCCCTACGTTTAGAAAATGCAATTTGCATGCCTAGTGTGTCAGTGAGAAGGGCAGGAGACAGTAAAAAATGAACAGAAATAGATGTCCAAGGGTTTTGCATACCAAGGAAAGGAGTTTGTATTTTATTTACGTGCATTAAGTCACTAGAAAGAGATTCTAAGCAGAGAGTGAAAGGTGTTTATTTTTAAAAGGTTGCCCTCACTTCTGTGTAGAGAGAACGGGGAGTGTCAGGGAAGGTGGGGAAGACCAGCATGAGGCTATCAGTGTCCTCCATCCGCTGGTCTGTCAGCAACAAAATCAGGGGAAAGACTCTCAAGAAGGAAGTTTGTTGAGGAATGATTCTGAGGAGCAAGCAAAGGGCCAGAGGCATGAGAAGCGAAGTAGCACGTGTTTAACTGCTGTCAGGTGGCAGCTCAGGGTGAAGGGAATGGGGTTCAGGGAAGCCCAGGCAGAAGAGTGGCAGGTGGGGCCTGGTAGAAGCCTAGAGGCCAAGCTTCCAAGGCCCAGTCCCAGGAGCCATATCTCAAGAGTGTCCATTGTGTCACCAACAGTTTAGGATTGACCTCGTTCCACGAATTTATAAGCTTCCTTGCTTTCACTGATGAAAGTTGGTCTCTGGTGTGCTCAAAGTCCTTCCTACTGATCCCTAGTTTCTTTCCCTTCTAACTGGTGATTTTTCCAGAGGCTGAGTATGGTTCTGGGGGTCTCTCTGAACAGGACCGGGACCCAGCTGAGGGGAAAGGAGGCTAGCTGGGACTGGGCCCAAGACAGAGTGGCATCTGGGCCTGGTGAGAATGTGGTGGGCCTCTTAGTTACACATGTTAGGAAGGCAAGGGAGGTATTAGGGCATGTTACAGCTAAGTGGACAGTCAAGTAAGGTTATAAACACAGTGGCCACTACACTTCTTCCTGGTCAGGACTGGTTCAAAAAGGGGAGGAATGGGAGACAGTAGAACCATCAATGTGACATCTTGGGCAGTTTAACGGCTCTGCACTGTGAATGGTCCTGAAAAACCTCATGATGACCTCCTTGCCTGAGTTTGGGGTTTTGTTTATCACAGGTGGATCTTGGGTGCCCAGTTTCTCTTCCAATCCCCACGCTTCTTCTTCCCACAGGCTCCATGGTGGTCCCACAGATGTCAGGCCTCACACACTCAGCACCTCAGAGAGTCAGTCCTTCTTCAGGGAAGTGTGCCCCACCTTCCCCTTCCCATTGTGCAAGCTTGAGACTTGGGGACACTCACTTGTTCAGTGTCCACTTATCTGTTCCATCACCAATGCTGGTGCATTTGAAGCTCCCTCCTCCTTCTTTCTCATATCTGCTGCATCCACCTCCTTGTCCCTCACAAAGTTCACACTCAGGAAGTGACCAACATCAGCACAAGAAGTAGGTGACCTCAAGGAGCCCCAGGCCAGTCACCACAGTGGCTAAGTTACAGTTTATGTCTGGGGGTTGACGTAGAATTCCCCTCAGAGTGATCCCAAACCACGGGTGGAAGTGGAGGTGTGTAAATTGCAACTTCTGGTCTGTCATAGTGTGAGAATAACACCTTGTTAGGGGATTTGTGTGGTCTACAGGAGGAAGACGAATCCCTCAGAGGATCCCAAATATTCCCAAAAGGCTGTTTCTGGCCTTAGCAGTGAATTCCCAGAGGACTGAGGATACCATGTCTGCTTGACTGAGGCACTGCATGTGCAGTGTGTCATCTATAAAAGCCAAAGGCCTCGATCTGATGAGAAAGCTGAAGTGCAGAGCCATTGATTGTTTGTTAGGAAGATCTTCCTTTGCTCAGAAGACAGACTGCTGCATTCCGTGCAAGTCCAAGCCACTCCTGCAAAGCACCACATTGCTTCCCATTCCTTACCTACTTCTTCAGTGGCTTCTTACCCACCATGTTCCCTGCTCCCCACCTGCCAGCCCCTGACCCTCACACTCTGCATGATTCCTCCTGTCTCAGTGTAAAACGTCACCTCCTCAGAGAAAACATTGGCCTTAAACCCCACTGTACACACATACACTCACACCACACACTTTCACATATATGCCACACATCTATGCCCTACACACATATATTCACTGCACATCCTCACACATATACACAGCACTCACCACATATGCTCACACATACATACATACAGACACCACAGGTCCTACATAAAATTCTTTTCCCTGAACATTCCCACCATAAGTTCTTTCGTTTCACAGTACTCAGATGTGGATGGTTTTGTTTTGTTTTTAATTATTTCACATCATTTTCTGTAGGTTCCACAAGAGGAGGCATCGCCATGTCCCCACACAGACACATGGAGAGGTAATAAGTAGTCAATAAAGTCCAGGTTTCACCCATGAGGATATGACTTTACCATCACTCAAACCCCAATCCAGGAGCTCTGAGAATCTTCTCTTGGAAGGGCCCTGCCAACCCCATGCCAGGACTTTGCATTTAACTCTGCAACCTGTCTCTCCAGGTATGTTTTGAAAAATGTTTCTAGGAGGTCATCTTTATTCCAACTTCAGCCCACAGTGTTGTCAGGATGGGTTGTCAGTCTGCCCTATATAGATCCCTTCAATACAGTGGAGTGACTTCTCTGACCTGGCCAATTCATCTCAATATTTCATCAAACAGCACGAACTTCAGGTGTCATTGTCTAAATGAAAATTCTGACCACCCTTTCCTGGCTTAGTGACTTCTCCTTGTCAGTATCCCTGTCCTCCTTGTGAGGGAGGAATGAAGTTACAAGTGAAAGTCCCGAGAACGATGTCAGGAATCAATGATACGATCAGGTGCACACCATATGGTGCACACCTCTTTCCATGTCCTGGCCAGTGTGCTCACCTGGTAATGGAAGGGTTAGAGGTTTAAGTGCACTCATAGCTGTTCTGGACAATTAACTTCTGGAAAAAACTCAGTCACTGAAAACCCAATGGGCACAGTTCTCCTCTGATACATGTGGGATTACCACAAATTGGAAACTATTTGGCAATAATTGGTTTCTTGTTTTTAGACCAATTGGTCAGAGACTGTAGCATTGACCTTTGAACAATGAGGGAGTTAAACACTCTAACCTCTGGTATTGTCAAAAATCTGTATAACTTTCAGATAACCCAAGAATAATACAGGTTTGATCTTCAAGGGTCTGCTTCTACTCCAATTTTTGCCCCTGTTGCTATTTCACTGGGCTCAAGTGTTTCAAGCATCTGCCTAAAACCATGTGATACAGCTCATCACCACGTGAAGAAACTGCTCGACACAGAAATGAATAGCGTGACAGGTGTTTTAAACAGATATTTGCAACACTTGAGCTCACCACAAAGTTGTTTTTAAGTGTCAAAGTCACCTGTGGTTTGTAGTGACTGTATGACCAGCAGGCTGACCCTTGAGCCATCCTGCAGCAGCCTCGTCACCTCTAACGCGTGCGTTGTTAGTCACCGTGCCAATCCACCTTGTTGAAGATCTTCCTATCTCTGACCTTCCACCTTTTCCAGCTTGATGTCGTTTTAACAAGAACCAGCCCCTCCTGACAACATCTCCAAAGAATGTGAGACTAAGTTTCACCATCTTTGCCTATAAAGAGCACCCTTAGTGCACTTTCACCAAGACAAAGTTTGTTCGTTCTTTTAGCAATCCATAGAATATTCGGTACTCTTCTCCAACACCACATCAATTTTTCTTCTGTTAAACTTTTCTTTATCTAACTTTCACATGTATAGGAAGACACTGAAAAGACCACAGCTTGGATCAGGAACACCTTAGTCTTTAACATCACTGAACTACCTAAGCTCTTAGAGCTTTGGAGAAGTCCTATTTTCCCAATGCAACACTTGATTTGATTTCTCGACTCCTGTTACCCTGGGTGTTGATTGTGGGTTCAAGTACCATGAAATCATTGACAACTTCAGTCTTTTCTTCATCTATCACAACAGCAACTGGGGGAGGTTCGGGGAAGGAGAATCCCACAGGTGGACTCGCACAATTCAAATTCATGTTGTTCAAAGTTTGCCCTTATTATCTCACTTAAACACCACAACAAGGGTCCCAAATGATGAAACAACTTACCGATGAGGAAAATGAGACACAGCGATGCTTGGTGACCTGCTCCCAACAACAGAGCCAGTATGTGACAACACCAGAAGCGGAGTTCAGGTGTTCAGCTCCAGAGCCCAAATTCTTCAGTTGTATGTTCTGATGTTTCTCAAAGAGCTAGTCGAGCAACGGGGGAGTTGTGCAATGTTTATTGCTAATTTGTGTCATTGTTCTCTTGGCCACTTGCCACCTCCCACTCTTCAAAGGGGAGCAAGTTTCTCACCCACAGAGTGGCTTGGTACTCCTCCCTCCCTCATCCTCTCCACGAAGTAAACTGATTTAGTGGTGTCCTCTCATCAGAGTTCACCAGGTGTGTGACAGCATGAGCCAGGGCACGCAGGGCTGAGGTCGCATGACTTACCCAGCAATGTGTCAGTTCTCAACCCACACCCAGGCGCAGGGCTGCCCACCATGGTCACTGCTGTAAGCTCTTAGCATACCCACTCCCTGTAGGCTGGAAACCCTTTTTCAATATTAAAGATCAAGGTAGCAGCTTAAACCTTCAACTTCTTCACATGCTGAACCAATGGAAACAATCAGGTCTGTTTTTCACAAACAGCAGGTGTTCTTGATCTGACCTGGAACTTAGATGGCAAAGGGCTGACAATGTATTTTATATTCTAAGGAGTACAGATATCACTTTTAAGACTAAGGTGTACCTGACCCAAGCTGTGGTATTTTGAATTCCTCCATATGTATGTGGAAGTTGGAGAATGAATAAGGAAGACCAAAGAAGAATTGATGCCTTTGAACTGTGATATTGTCCAAGAATATTGAATATATCATGGACTGTCCAAAGAATAAATAAATCTGTCTTGAAAGAAGAGCAGTCACAGTGCTTGTGAGACTTAGCCTCACACTCTTTGGGTGTATTTTCAGGATGGGCCAGGCTCTGGAAAAGGATATCATACCTAGAAAAGTACACAGTCAATGAAGAAGAGAAAGAATTCCAAGGAGATGGAATGAACAGTGACAGAAACAATGGGCCCAGCAAAGATTGTGAGGATGACGCAGGACCACACGGGTTCACTCTGTTCTACTTGGGGTTGCTATGAAGTGGAGTTGACCCAATGTAACCTCACAACAATTTTCTACAGATTTCAGAATCAGTTTGTCAACTTCCAAAAGGAGTCAAGGGAGATTCTGAGAGGGATTGTGTTGAATCTGTAGATCAGGTGGGGATGTTTTACCATCTTAGCATTACCAAATTTTCCAATCCATGAATTTGGGATTTTCCCCAATTATTTATATTTTTTGATCTCTTTTAGAAGTGCTTTAGTGTTCTTTAGAAGATCTAATTCCTTCCTTTTCATACCATTTCTGTTATCTTCCTGGCCTAACAAGCATCATGTCACTTCAATGATTGTAATACCTCTACTGGGGCTTCTTCTCCTACCTCTTGAAGCCTGTTTCAAGATTGGCAAATTATGGCCCACAAACTACCATTTGCATTTTCCTACCTTGTGAGCCAATAATGAGTGATACATTTAAGTAGCTTTGGGGTGGGGAGAAAAATTAGGACAATATTTTGTAATATATGAAAAATCATATGAATTCCCCATTTCAATGCCCATAAGTTTTATTAACACAAAGCTATGTTCTTTGTTTGATGTCTCCTATGACTACTTCTCCACCGTAATAGATAGATGAGTAGTTGCAATACAGATCTGATGGCCTACAAAGTCTAAAATATTTACAATCTGCATTTTACAGCAAAAATTTGCAAATCTATGTCAGTGATCTTTAACATGTGCAAATCTATTAGACAATGCCAAATCCCAGACCTCCCAGTGTATTTAAATTAAATCCCAATTTTGTATTACAAAGTCTCCACAATTTAGGCCTGGCCTTCCTCTCCAGCATCATCTTATACCTCTCTCCTCGCCTGCAATCCTCTCATCTAGTGATTGATCACTTTGATGGTGTGTCCAAGCAAATGAGTCAGATAATGTTCTGCTGTGATCCATAACATTTTCATTGGCTAATTTTATGGAAGTAGATTGTCAGGCTCTGGTATGGAGACAGTATGATTGTCCCTGTCTGGAAGTTTCTATGAAGTCTGTCTGTCTGCTTTGGGTGATCTTGTTGATCTCTGAAATAGTGATGGCATTGCTCCCAGCATCATAGCAACCACAGTAAGACAAACTGACAGATAGACAGTGGGTCAAAAACTTTTACTATTTAAGAAAATACTTTTTCATGTTATCTAAACATTGAACATCATGCTGTAATTTAAGTGCATCCACTCCCTACCTCCAGGAGGTAGGCAAAGAATAGAAGAATGTCGTTTTGTGCTTTATTAACTATGTAAATGCATTTGACTCTGGATCATAACTAATTATGGCGAACAATGAGAATAATGAGAATCCCAGAACACCTAATTGTGTTTATGCAAAACCTATAACTAGACCAAGAAACTGTTGAGGAAACAGAACAAGGGAACACCACACTGTTTAAAATTAAGAAAGGTGTGCAACAAGAATGTATCTTTTCTCCATACCTATCCAATCTGTATGCTGAGCAGATTAGTCAAGAAGCTGGACTCCATGAAGAGGAATGTGGCATCAGGATAGGAGGAAGACTCATCAACAACCTTTGGTATGCAGATGACACATCTTGCTTGCTGAAAGTGAGGAGGACTTGAAGTACTTGCTGCAGAAGGTTAAACATTGAGGTCTTCAATATGGATTGCATCTCAAGGTCAAGAAAACAAAATTCTGACCACTGGACGGACAGGCAGTTTCATGATAGATGAAGAAAAGATTGAAACTGTCAACAACCTCATCTTACTTAGATTTACAATCAATACACTTGCTACTAGTAGTCAGATCAGGAGATGTCCTGGGCAAGTCTGCAAGCAGAGACTTCTATAAATTATTGAGGAGCAATGATGTTAGTTTGAGGACTAAGATGTACCACATTCAGACCATGCTTTTTTCTTTTTTGAAGGTTATGTGTATCATCTAGCACGGTAAACCAGTCTTGGGCTCTCCCAGCAGCTGGAACAAAGTGACGAGAGAGCATGTGGGGAGGTGGCAGAGCTCTCCCTCGGAGGCCCCATTTTTGCTCTAAGGCAACTCAGAATCCAGCAGAGAGGAACCTCGCTGAGGCTGCAATGACCACAGGCCACTGGTTCGAGGGTGAGGAGGCTCTCGGGGAGGGCTGATCCATGGGGGTCCAGAGGGCCTACAGCAGGAGGCCCTCACAAGCTAGGTGGCTTCTTCTTGGCATCCAAGTCCTTCTTGATGTCCTCAAGCTTTTTGGCCAGGTTTGGTATCTTGTAGTTCTGAGCCAGGTACATTCCAACGATGTTTCCAAAAGTAAATCCAAGCAGGAACTGGTGCATGATGTCGGCGGGGAGGGTGAGGGAGCAACCCAGGCCATGTTCTTTTCAATCAATTGCTATGAATCTGAGATAATGAATAAAGGTGACAGAAGAAGAACTTATACCTTTGAACTGTGGATGGAGAAGAATACTTAATAACAAGGAGTGTCAAAAGAACAAATAGCTATGTCTTAAAGGAGTCAGAGTGTTCCTTGAAGGCAATCATGAGACCCAATCATAAGATAATAAAGCGCTTTCCCTCCTCAAACATCTTACTGTCCTATCAGTAGGGCTCCTGGTAATAACAGGGATTAGAGAAGAAAGAATTGAAAGTCTCAGGCCTAAGTTTCATCTCACATATTCTGGACATGTTGCTAAGAGAAGCTATTCCTCTGAGAAGGACATCATGCTTGGAAAGGTAGAGGGATTGGGAAAGAGAGGACGACCTTCAAAGAGATGGGTTGACACAGTGATTGTAGAAATGGGCTTGAGTGTGTCAGAGATCATGAGAATGGCAAAGGATAAGACTGAGTTCAGATGTGCATAGGGTTGCCGTGAGTAGTACTCAGCTTAACAGCACCTAACAACAGTAACAACTCCCTACTTCTGATCTCATGGTGCTCTAAGTGGGTTGTTCATCAGGTGCCAAGCTCCCTCTGTTAGAGCTCTTCTCATCTACTCAGCCTCTCACCCAAATACTTCTCTGTGCCAGGTATAATGCTAAGTGCCAGGCATTGAAAGAGGGACCCTAACCTCAAGAGACTCTTTGTCAGCTTTCATGCCATCAGGCTGACATTTAATTCCCCCCTGTGACACTACCATTTGGACATCTCTTGATCTTCTCTAGCTGTCTTGGATGACATAGAACTTCATCTACAATGATACTGACAAACCTGTTAGTCACAAGATACTTTGTGCTTATTTACAGTAGTTTATACCCTTTTCCCCCTAAAATATGAGTCTAATACAAGCAGAATAGTACAAAGACTAAAACCACATTACTATAATCCTCGTTTTAGTTTGACCCACTGACAGTACTAAATTCTCTGGATGTCAGCCAGCTTAGAAGGGAGCCAACAGAACAAGAAAACATTTGACTGCCACTGGGCTTTGGGATTTAATCAGTGCATAATAAGTTGCCCCTTGAACTTGGAGATAAGGTTACTCTCAGAGTGAAGCTAATAAAATCAACACATGATAGAGACAAGCCAACTACACAAGGGGGATCAGGACGTCTTCCAAACATATACAAATAGGACTGACTTAGAAAACCACGGCTGAATGTCAAGGTCACTCCAGCATATAATATTCTTGCTTTGCCTGCTGCCTGCAGCTCTTGCCTCCAACCCCTTTTTGCACTCTTTGTCTCAAGAATTATTTATTTCATTTGAGAACTAAGGTGCACCTGATTCTATGTACCAAAAACTACTCTGTTGTGGTTGTGTGCTGTAGAGTTGGAACCGGTCCACAGCTGAACCTCCAGCAGGTTTTTAGAAGCAGTAAGTCACACAGGAGATTGCCCATCCTTCAAGACTTATGGTTTCCACTTTGACATGTAAAGAGGTGGACTTTATTTCTCTCATCCTAATAAGGGGGGAACTGAAAATATTGGGAGAAAACCCCCCAAAACCCAAACAACTCATCCATCAGAGATCCATCAGAGAATTTAGGTCATGGGGCAAACTGCTGCCTTAAAACTAGAAAGATCAGGATACAGAGAATCACCTAGCTCAGAAATCTTCTACGACCAGGGTTGAAAGGAACACTTGAACTATAATTAGCAAATTGCCGGAGGCTCAGTGTGGACTACCAAAAGTGGGGAGGATGGGGTTGGGGGATCATCTTGACAAGGGGATTATACTTCTAGGAGCCTGGCCAGGATACTGCTGTGAAGATTGAGGAACATTCCTTCATGCTTCCAGTAGGGGGAGAGAACAAGTAATCCATTTGAAACATCTCAGACTGTTCTATTCTGTTCAGCAAAATCCTGCCACAAGAACATTATTTTTTACTAGTATAAAACCATGTGGGAGAAGGGAATTACTTGATTCCAGGCCTCTTTAGCCTCCTGGTCTCATCTAAAGAGGAAAGAAAGAAAAAAATTGACCAATTCTCACAAAGGTCCTAGCCCGGGGAAACAGGTTCATGAGACCCAAATAAGATTATAAAGCGCTTTCCTCCTCTAATACCTCACCGTCCTATCAGTAGGGCTCCTGGATAATAATAGTGATTAGAGAAGAAAGAATTGAAAGTCTTGGACCTTATTCAAGAAGATATTTTGAGGGAAACCCAAACACAAATAGTAAGCACAGCGAAGACCTACACAGATAAACACAGACCCTCACATGAAAAGACCATTTACTTTACTTCCTTTAACCCAGTGCATCTTTTTCAGCTTCCTACAATTACCAGAATTGCTAAAAAGCAGACAACATAGTCTAAAAATGCAGAGCAAGCGTCAAAAGCAGACCCTGATAAGGCAGGGGTTTTGGAATTAACATACAAGAAATTAAAGATATTAACTACAGCTAGTATACCAAGGGCTCTAATTGGGAAGAGTTATAACATACACAAACTGATGGATAATGCAAGCAGAAAAATGCTAAGAAAAAAAAAGTAAATTCTAGAAATCAAACACTAACAGAAAGGAAAATTTTTTATGAGTTCATCAGCAGCCTGGACACAGCCAAGACAAGAATAGCTGTGCTTCAGAGGTACATGGTTCTAATCCACCAGATGCTCTGCTGGAGAAGGAGGGGCAATCTCCTCCTGTACCAGTCAGATTTGATTTGATGGTACACACTCAAAAAAATAATAAATTTTTTTAAATGTATCTGTTAAAAAAAAAAAAAGAATGGCTGAGCCTGAGGATACTTCCCATAGATGTTTTCAAAACTGAAAAAGAAAAAAAAAAAAAAGAATTGAGGGGAAAACCAAAACAAAACAGGTTATCTGAGAATTTTGGGGGGGAATTATAAAAGGTATAGCACAACTATTAGGAATACCAAAAGAAGAAAGAGGGGGGAAAGAAATACCTGACGGTTCAATTCCCGAGAAGTTTCTTAAATTAGTAATATAAACCAAACCACAGGTACAGGAAACTCAGAGAGTAGCAAGCATTATAAATACCCAAACATTTATAGCTAGGCATATTATACGCCAAATGCAGGAAAACAAAACAAAGATAACTTCTTGAAAGAAGTCAGGAAAGTACAGGGGAAACAAAGATAAGAATTCCATCTGATTTTGCTACAGAAACCACAAAAGCAAGAAAAAGGTAGACTCAAATATTTAAGGCAAAAAAATCTAGAATTCTGAATTCAGAGGAATTATCCCTCCTGAATTTGGTGAAATTATCACTTTCCCAAACATATAGAAAGCAAAAGATATTGCTGGCAAGAAATATGCCTTGTGAAAAAAAAATGTTAAAAGATATTCAGAGAGAAGGAAAATTATGTAAATCAGAAGCCTGGATTTGCATAAAAAGAGGAAGTACAGTTCAAAAAGAAAAACTGATGATAAAACAAATACTTTGCTTTTCTTATTCTTAACCTATCTAACAGATAAAATGTGTTAAAAATAATAATAGCAATAATATATAAGATTATTATATCCTATAGATAAGCAATCTGAATCTTATTAATATAAACACTTGGATAGAGAAATTCGGAACACCTTATTATTCCTGTGCTATTCATTAAACTATAAATGTATATTATATATATATATATATATTTTGGAAGCAGGAGTGGCATCCACTTCCTAAACAACATGCCTCCAAAAACTCTATGAACTTTGATAAATGTCGATAGTTGTGGAAAAGTTTCAGGTCTTTTGTTCATAGGGTCACTATGAGTCGAGCTCGATTTGAAGGCAATCAACAACAACACATATATATTTATATTACATAAATAAGGCCCCAGGAATAGATGGTATATCAATTGATGTATTTCAACTAACAGATGCTGCCCTAGATGTGCTCACAATGTTGTGTCAAGAAATCTGGAGAACAACCACTTGGCCAACTGACTGAAAGAGATCTATATTTATTCCCATTCCAAAGAAAGGTAATCCAACAGAGTGTGGAAATTATAGAACAATATAATTATTATCACATGAAAGCAAGATTCTGCTGAAGATTATCCAAAAATGACTGGAACAGCACATCATCAGAGAACTACCAGAGATGCAGGCTAGGTTTAGAAGGGGTGGTGGTACTAGGGATATTATAGCTAATGTTACATGGATCTTGGCTGAAAGCAGGGAGTACCAGAGTAATGTCTGTGTTTCACAGATTATGCAAAGGTGTTTGACTGTGTGGATCACAACAAACTGTGGCTAACTCTGGAAAGAATGGGAATCCCAGAACACTTGATTGTGTTACTGCAAAACCTATACTTGGACGAGGAGGCAGTCATCAGAACAGAGCAAGAAAACACTGCATGGTTAAAAATTGGGAAGGCTGTACACCAGGGATGTGTCCTATCTCCATATCTTTTCAACCTGTATGCAGAACAGATTATCCTGGAGGCTGGGCTCTATGAAGAGAAATGTGGCATCAGTATTGGATGAAGACTCATCAACAATCTGCGTTATGCAGATGGCACAACTCTGCTTGCTAAAACTGAGGAGGACCTGAAGTGCTTGCTGCAGAAGGTCAAGGACTGCAGCCTTCTACTTTCTGGCTTCAGGAAATCCACTGATAAGTGACATTTTGTTTTGCTCCTGTGTAGTGTGTGGGATAGCTTGCTTTCTTCCAGACATTGATAGGTTCTTGATCTGAAGACAATGCCCTAGAAATCAATTGGGCAGCTACCCAACCTGTGTTTTTCTCTGAACTTCTGATTCAAGGGAAAGGTCAGTTCAAGGCCTGTGAGAGCAGCCTCTTGTAGCTAAGTCAGATCAATGTGCTCCGGATTAAAGGCAAGTTGATTGGACGTATAGGTACAGGTGTGGAGCCAAATAGTGGGTGGGGCAGGCATGGGTAGGGGTGGGTAGGGTGACCAGAGATGTAGGTCAGT